ACTTAAATTATTGTATTATTTTAGAAGTCATTGAGACATCAAAACCTAACTCAACGTGATTGATTGAATCTTCACAAAATTCTATACAAAGACTTGTGTATTTATATATGTCCATATATTATAAATAGATATGGAATTTAAACTCAAAGCAAACAGAACGAAATACAACTTACATGCAGAGTGCGCAGTGAAGATATCATATCATAAATAAATTACCTCAACGTTGCGGTCAAAACGATTGATGTGTTGGTTAAGACTTCAAACAAGGCCGATGACATAACCAATACAAGCTTAGAGTCTTGTTTTATTACGTAAAATTACGTGGCTAACAGTTGCTGTTCTGTTCTACTTCATCCTTTACTAAAATCTACAATCAACAGTTTTGAATTTCTGACGATATGTTTTTGAAATAGTTGTTTATTTAAACTATAAATCTATAAATCACGTGATTGCATTCATACTATGAAAAGGTTGTAAACACCGACATGAATCGCCCTAATGATACTTCAAAGAAATATCTATCAATGTACCTGTTATGCTTGTATCTACATTTTGACATAAAATTAAACCAAAATTTACCCTATGCACACACCCATATAAACAAATATGTATACAGTTATTGACAGTCCAGGAGTCAAACGTTGTTTTTTGTCTACTTCTGACAAGGATTTACTAGCTTTTATTACGTAAACTTCAACGACCACAAAGTAACATGGTCCTAAATCCAGAAGCATTTTCGCCAGAACTGAATTAGTGAAAATAACACCTAATTAAATTATTTATTTACGTAAAACCTGTTTACCAGAATATACGACTAACGTTTTGTTACCCATCCTATTGCGAAATTGAATACCCCAAGAAAATAAGAACAAAACAAAACAAAACAAAACAACCCCCCCCCCCCCCCCCCCCCACCAAAAAAAAGAAGAAATCTGATCGTCTAATGTTCTTAAAGTTTTTAACTTTTTATTTTCAAGTAAACAAAAGATATATGTATAACAATTTGTGCTATATCAGCTAAAGATGTTTTACAGGTGATATGAAATTAAAAGTACGATCAAACAATTTCAATAAATGTATGTGGTAATCTCACTGATAAAGCAATAACATATATATCATATGTAGTTACTATACAGCCAATACCTCACACGACTTTTATTAAAAATTGGGTTAAAGTAGAATGGCTTTTCTAACGACAATGTTATCACTTATTGACAATACCCGAGTTAGAATTAGATTACTGAAATACAGATGACAACTTGACTGGATCTATCACATCTGGTCAGTGGATTGACTGAAGTTTATCAATATAAGATATACACCAGTGGTAAACCAGCTTGTTTCGACACGAGGGAGAGGATAATGGACAGAGTGACGTTCTACAGTGTCTTTCTAGCCTCTATATATCAAACAGGTAAACAATGATTTATTAACAATTGTTTTATTCATACAACTAAATATAATTTATAAACGTTTAGCATTTATATTAGTTAATAATTTTTCATAAACATTTATCATTTATACAAGTATATTTATGATTTATACAAGTATAATTATCATTTATGTATATTTATGATTTATACAAGTATATTTATCATTTATACAAGTATATTTATCATCTATACAATATTTATTTTTATCAACATTTATTTTATACCATTTATACAAGTATATTGTTCATTTATACAATATTTATCATTTATACAACTATATTTATCATTTATACAACTATATTTATCATTTATACAAGTATATTTATCATTTATACAAGTATATTTATCATTTATACAAGTATATTTATCATTTATACAACTATATTTATCATTTATACAACTATATTTATCATTTATACAACTATGCTTATATTTATCATTTATACAAGTATATCTATCATTTATACAACTATATTTATCATTTATACAACTATATTTATAATTTATACAACTATGTATCATTTATGATTTATACAAGTATATTTATGATTTATACAACTATATTTATCATTTATACAAGTATATTTATCATTTAAACAAGTAAATATTATTCGTAATATTTATCATTTATACAAGTAAATATCACTCATGTCTATCATTATTACAAATAAAGATAATTTATTAATTTCTTTTATGACTGAATTAGTCGTTATTTCGCTAATATTATTTATACATGTAAATATCATCCGTTAACATAAATCATTTAAAGTTAAATCATATATGATAATAATGATATTTTATTTGTAAACATTGATACTAACATTTATTTAATTATTTTGTTATGATTACCACTTTCCCTATTACACATTTCTAAAAGTAACATCAGATTAAAATATTCAAATTATTTACTTGTACACATATTTGTCAAATAAATAGTGACCAATTCAATGTTTATTTTGATGAATTGTTCACAAAAATGAACGAGAAGCTGATATGTTGATAGTTTGTCACACGTATACGTTATGTAGGTGACTCGTAGAGACTTGATCACTCACCGTTATAGAGGCGACGAAATTTGGCCTGCCTTAATGTTTGTTTTTCAAGCAATGCGACACGGTTAATTAACAATTGATCAAATAATGATATTGCTAAACGTATGGTATCATCATATGTGTGTCGTTGTTATAACACCGATACATAAACGGTTTCTATGGAAACATTTGCTTGCTAGGCATTGCTATGTATGTGATTGATATGGCAATGACCCGTGTGTTGGTTGGCTTGATAATGACCTGTGTGTGTAGTTCTTATGCCAATGACCTGTGTGTGTAGTTCCTATGATAGTGACATGTGTGTGTGTGTGGTTTCTATGATAATCGCCCGTGTATGTGGTTACTTTGAAAATGACCCGTGTATGTTGTTGATATGACGATGACCCGTGTGTTTGGTTGCTATGGTAATGGCCTGTGTATGTGGTTAATGTGATATTTCCCCGTGTGTGTGGTTGCTTTGATAATAACCTCTGTGTGTAGTTCCTATGATAATGACATGTGTGTGTGAGGTTTCTTTGATAATCGCCCGTGGTTACTTTGAAAATGGCCCGTGTATGTTGTTGATATGACACTGACCCTTGTATATGGTTGTTACGGTACTGACTCGTGTGTGTGGTTGCTAAGATACTGACCATTGTGTGTGGTTGCTATGGTACTGACTCGTGTGTACTGTTGCTACGATGCAGATATGTATATGATGTTGCTAATGAAACTGATTGTTGTATGCTGTTGACATGAAACTGATAACTCTTTATACGACTAATTTAGCACTGCTTCTTGTGTATGATGTTTGTGATATTAATTTCTAAATATTGGAATGTTAATCTTAATATTTTAATTTAAATACTATTTTCCTGGAATACATAGCGAAAAAACTCTGCACTCTGATGATTTTTAATTGTTTTATTTTCCATCACACAGAAAATATAAAATTCCTGCAGCTATTTCCTAACTTTTAACGAATTTCGTCGTTTTTTAATGTTATTTTTAATGTTCGCCTTGTGCCATATGATTTTGTTGTGTCTTTCCCGGTTTACTCTATGAGAACGTGGCATGCCTTGCATAAGTTCTGAAAGTGTGTAGTGTTTTTAATCGATGGCAATATTCGACGCTGCTGACATTAAGACATTTTTGACATTGTTCTAAATTCATCTGGTTTTATTTCGAATTATAACTTGTGTTTCCCATGTTTTTCCAGACGCCGTTATAAGATGTGGGACATGTCTTCAACCGCCTAATTACGTCAGCAGTTATGTTAGACTAAAATCGCAGTCTATCCATTCAGAGGCTATCATTGAACTTAACATTACAGAAGTTCCGATCAAAGTTGACATCCAGGTTAGACCCATCAGCGGTAACGACACAGCCTATGTCTTTTCGGGACTAGGATCATCCCAACAGGATGATGATAAAAGGGGAGAGTATGGAGGCGTGGTTTACAAGTATAACGAAACAACCGTCAGATTGTATGTACCAAATCGGAACGACAATTCTGGTGATGGTACCGTGATTTTCACAGGTATATTACTGTTGTACTGTTTATGCGTGTTCCATATTCGCTACCCTTATAATCTGTTTAACTGACATTATTCTCATTTGGGAACGTGGCATTACTTTCTTGGTTTGACCAGGATTTATATTTCGTGTGTTGTTGATGAAGCAGAAGATCCTCACCCTTTCAGGAGACCTGGTTTTATTCTCTTGGTACTTTTCAGGAGTCTCCCTGTAAAATCTTTCTTATATATAAATATATATACATGACATCAAGATGTTTCTGGTAATCTGTGATTCTTGTATATTAGCATGCCGTTATGTTTCAGACCACTTGAAACATTTATCTATTACAGGTAATAGCGATGCTTGGTTCGGACCAAAACAGCAGAAAGAGGACGAGGCAGAAGTTCGCGTGAGGGTTTGGACTGAATGTAACTTCCCAGCTGCAGATTACGAGTCGAACTGGTTTCATATGAAAGTGCAAAATGGCAAGTATATAATTATTCATTGTATCTTAAATGGAGAGGGTTCAAACATACACTAGAATAAATCTGCCTTTCTTTCTATACTGTATACAAGATTCGAAGAGAAAGTAAATTGAACTATTTATTAATTCTAGGTACCGACTCGTTCCGAGAAATACGTCATGACCTTGGCTACGCCCCCGACTACGTGACAGTACAAGTATGGAACAATGGCACGAACTGGTATTCAGACGGGATAGGTATGCAGGAAGGAGCGACAGAAATGTACACATAACAGAAACAGTCGGAATATTTTCTGTGTCTGATTAAAATATGTTGCAAAATTTTCATCAAGAAAAACCCTTGAATTCCTTACTTGTCCATAAATGATGTGAACAATATTAATTGATAGGTTTGTTTTGTTTTGATTTATTCGAAACCATTCGCAAATAATGTTCATTACAAAATTACACATGATGGCATTCCATTGGTACTTTATACGTTAGTCCTCAGTTGGTTTCTAACATATTCTATTGGTCTTTTTCTCAGCATCTGGAATGACGCCAAACAATGTAAAGAAAGAGACAGCGTGGGGTGGCGTTGTCTATGCATATAATGACAGATTCGTACGAGTATGGGTACCCGGATTTGACACAGGTAAAGGCTTTGTCTAAGTTCATGTAAATTGTCAATGTCTTAGTCTTTAACTTCCTGTAAAGTATCCTCCTGACAGAAAAAATGACCAAGAATAAAGAGATTAAGATAAACTTATGTCAATTTGAATTCTTCTGTTCATGCCTATTGCGCTTGGCAACGAGAACGAACTATGATTCATTCTACCATTCTGAATGACTTTTAACTTAATCGAAATAAATTTTAAATTGAAATTTAGTCAATGTTTTTGCAACAGCAATGTTTGAATGCATCTACGGTTTATTTATAAGCAAACACTTCACCTTATTCTCTTTGAACTTTTTTCAAATATCTTCGCGTAATCATTTCTTTTGTTGATAATTTTCAATTACTTCTTCTATGTTCAATTTGAATCAAAATGTTATTTCAACATCACGCCTGTTTTAGGGAGAATGTTTAGTGTAGCGGATGGTTGGGGAAGAGGTTCGCAGGAGACGTGGTCAGAAGGTATGGTGAAAGTAAGAGTATGGGGAAATATGCCCGGCGATTCTGTTTATAAATCTACGGCAACGATTGGTCAGATCACAACAGGAAATTTAACGTCACAATTGCATAGCGTTTCCAGAAGTCTAGACATGGATACTGGACTTATCTCTGTAACGGTAATGTTATCATTCCATTTTATTCTTAATCTATAATTATTATGATAGGATCCTGTTTGAATTTCTTGTAAACTCATTATCATTAATTAATTATCTAGATGTATCAACACCAAAATTAATAACAGTTCATCTTCACGTGTCATTTTGTCAACCAAGGATCACCACTTTAATTTCAACGATTGAACTTATGTAACTGAAATTTTGTAATGGAAATAGAATAAGCTACTTCAAGTCTATTACCGCTAATTATTGATAAAGTACTAGATGGATCTTTCTCAAATTTAATATAAATGTTCAACTTGGTCCCTGTTTTATTTTTAAAAAATTGCTTTTGGACTGATCATAACAAAAGGATCGACAGGTGGCCATCTTGGATTTTGACACTTAAATGTTTTGCTATTTCTATAGAGTTGCTGAGATTGTTCTCAAACTTCCTTGGTCCCTAGTTGTGCATTATTGGATTTTGGAACTGAGGAAAAAACTCGCTGACTGTTCATCATCTTTGACTTTTATGATTATACGTTGAGAATCTTTGTTTAAATTCCAAACTGTGTTCCATTTGGTCTCTTGTTACAATCGGTAATCATCCATTTCGTATTGATAGGAAAACAGTCATCAAGTTTTCTTCGTTTATCGAAGTTACCATGTGCTTATTTTGGCGGTCAATACAACATATAATGAAGAACAAACAAGGAAAAAGAGGAATAGAAAGAAAACTAATTAATGAAGATATAATGTTACACAATACGGTGCTCTGCGCTAAGTTCCTTTGGGATCTCTTGTTGAGTGTTCTCATTTAACTTTCTTTAAAGTTCTTCGTTACTTTGTTTTGTGCAGTTGAAGGCTCTTAATGGGAACAACAATGGGTATTCCTTTCCTACCTTGGGTGCCGTACAGAACACAGATCCTAGAGACAAGTTTGGTGGAGTTGTGTACTCATACTCTCCAAACGCTATCCGAATTTGGCATCCCATTGTTCCCGGTGGCGGAAATACGGCACTGTACACTAAAGGATCCATCATATACTTATCTCCGTACTGGGGAGGTGGCAGTTTCTCTCAAGATTCCAAAAATGGATTGGTTGAAGTTCGATTTTGGAACTCCTATACAGGACAATGTGTGTACTGTCGATATTGATAAAATATCTTGTATAATCCTGAGTGGAATTTGTGAAATGGCATTTGCATCCGACAAAAATGTTAAACATTTAAGTTTGTTAACTCAAACACTAGCATGAAATGGTAAAGTATTGCGATCGATAATTACTATTTAAAGTTTTACACGTTCAAATTAAACCTCCTACATTAATGGCAATTTAAGAAATTCGACATTTACATACATAAGGAAAAACAAAGAGAGAGAGAGAGAGAGAGAGAGAGAGAGAGAGAGAGAGAGAGAGAGAGAGAGAGAGAGCGCAAGAGAGAGAGAGAGAGAGAGAGACAGAGAGAGAGAGAGAGAGAGAGAGAGAGAGAGAGAGAGAGAGAGAGAGAGAGAGAGAGAGAGAGAGAGAGAGAGAGACAGAGAGCGAGAGACAGAGAGAGCGAGACAGAGAGAGAGAGAGAGAGAGAGAGAGAGACAGAGAGAGAGTATTATTGATAAGTTAATTTGTTTTGTTTTCACTGTATGAAGACTTTCATGTGAATTATGACAGGTCCGCCTCCAACCACTCCAGCTAAAGCCAGCACGTCCCCCTTTACTGGTACTACATCCAACATGTCTCGTCCTCACTCAACACCTCTCACAACTCGCACGACGAGTCGTTTGACAACGTCTTTCTTACCCATAACATCGGTACCCGTGTTAACATCTACCACCGCAAGGTCAGCAACAGTCACATCGACTTCAACAAAGTCTACTGGTAAATACCACTGATTTACTTTTACTCCCTTTTAGGCGGTGATAAATGTTTCAGGCCTATATCGATCCTTGTTACGACGGAAGAAATGACTTGACATGACCATGTAATTATTTAATTAAAAAGTAATTAAAAAGCAATTAATTTTCGTGAGGGGTAAATTTTGGTTATCATTGTTACTCATAATCCACGAATACATTTGTCCACGAATTGTTAAATCACTGTAAGTATATTTATCGAACGATAATTCTCAACGAAATTAAATGTCCACGAAATGGCAAAATTTTGAAGAACTACGAACATTGAACCCCACGACAATAGATGATTTTACATTGAAGAAAAGAAGTGAAATAGTAGAAATTGCTTGTCCTTATGTTTGGAATCGAAAATGGTAATCAGTAGATCACAAAAAATAAACATAAAGCCCTGGTTACCCAAAATATTGATGTATTCATTATTTGCAGTTGAACTTTGACATCTGAAAAAATTCCAATCTGAGGAAGCTAACGGCTTCATCGTATTTATGTAAAATCCAAAGGGGCGCTTCATTTGTGCTTGCTTATTCTATTTGCAAACAGCGTCAACAAGCAGGACTAGTTTTCACGCACAAAGTTCTAGACATGTCAGCACCGCAATTCCCTCAACCAGAACGAGCTCAGGTGGACATTCGGGAGCGAATTCTAAAACTGTTTCGAGAAGTGTAGGGACTACGACTGGATTCAGAGGATCTAAGGCAACCACTAGCAGCACAATACTCACAGGAACCGGCGGTACAAATTCACAAGCTACAAGAAGTACTTTGAGGGATGGCCAGGATGGACAAGATGACGGAGGCCGTGAGTCTAACATATAACATGTTTCATTGATATTGCCGGAGGTGTTACTTTAGGAACGTGACATTACTTAAATCTGATCTCGATTCACACAGATATCATCTGGCCTTACTCTCCTTTTATTACCGATCTGAGTTATGATAATAGTTTTTCTTATCACTTACATTGTTTACTGTTTTCTGTCATCATTTTCATATTCCAGATTGTCGTTTTTCCGTGAAAAACATTCAAGGCAAAGTGTTTCTATTTATATATATCAGCATTATTTACTTTGTAGAACTATAAATCCCTTGTACCAATTGGTCAGGCTCATTAAATGTCCTGTAGTTATTATTTTTCTTATCTAATATAATATCTACATCGATGTATGTACAATTGTTACGGCAGAAGTGGATCACTTGGCAAAAAACAATACACATTTCGATAAACATCGTACATTTATAGCATAAGATATAGCTTTACATGTCATATTATTTAATAGATGAATATTTGCCATGTAAAGTAAACTTGTAAAACAAAACCGACCGTTTATATGTCTATATCATATAATTAATTATCATGACCGAAAAAATAACAGTACTATGTTAAGCATAACTGAAAGGGAAAACCCCATAACGTTTTAAGTGTTTTATACATTGAAGACACAATCAGAAGACCCCTTCCTTCTTTTTCATTGGGGGTCTGGGTGGAGGGGGGTTGCATTTGTAACTGGCAGCAAGCCTACGTAACTTAGATAAAGTTACAGTTGACAAATCGTTCATTTTCCAGTGTCGCCAGTAGCTACCGGTCTCATCGCAACTGCCAGTATCCTATCTGCCGCTTGTTGTTTGAGCGGGCTGATATTCGGTTTACTAAAGAAGATGAAAAGGAAGCAGAAGGTCGACCCGGAAATCGAGGTGAGAGCTGTTTATTTATCTAGATATCACTGTTATTTCGGACAATCCAAAAGTAGGTGATTTATTTGCTATGTACCAAGTTTCAGTTTCAGGTAATGATTACACACACATATATATATTATCAACTCTGATCACTTCACGATTACAGAACGAAGTGAAATAGAACAACAGTGCTTTGTTTTAGGTTCAATAAATCATGTAGCAGTTTAAATTTGTCTTTTAATTCCCATTATTTCGTAAAAAAGTTTTGTCTGTACGTCCGTCACACAAAGCTTGTCCACAAGATATCTTATAAACGTACGTCCGTCACCCAAAGCTTGTCTACAAGATATCTTATGAACGTCTCCACCAATTTAGTTTATATCACGCTGAACCACTTTCCAAATAAAGGACTTGAGTACAAGCTATCTTAAAACCTTTACAAATCTATTCATAATAACACACCATGGTATCATAACCCCAAGTTCACGTTAAAAAGCCAGGGGTCAGAAACACATACCTGTAAACTGATGCTCCTTTTATATATCATTATATCAAACTTATTCAATTACACCAGCTCCTGTATCTAAAATTTAGTGTAGAAATTGTATATATTTTCAGCAGACCTAATCGCTTTATACATGTTTTGTTACAGAACAATGATGCATTTGGAAGTCAAAAAGCCATTGAAGACAAAGGGAATCCTGCAACAAATAACGGAACTTCTCCAACAGATGACGGAACACACCCATCAAGTACAACAGATAACGGAAATCCTTCGCCGGAGAACGGAAGTCCTCCAACAGGGAACGGAAGTCCTCCAGTTGATACCGGAAGTCCACAAATTGCTACAGATCGCCCACAGACAGCGCGTCCAGAATAGACAGAGTGCCACTGTTAGACACTTGGAAAACATCAATGATTAAATGCCCGGATTTTATGGTAGTACAGATAGTCAGCACAGATTTGTTTTTGCTGCTTGGAATATCATTACGCTCTTCGAAATAAGTAAACATGCTATACAGTTTTCATTTCATTTAGTCACAATAAAATGATTGGTTGTAATTGTAAGTAACAATTCAGGCGAAATATTTGGCATGAAATGAAACCAATTTCGCTTTTATAATCTCTCCACCTCCTGTACATCACTCCCACATATTTTGTCAAATAATTTTATTATGACACATTCAAATTTCTCAGTTAGCGTTTCCAATAGAAGTGTGGGTCCTCCTGAAACAATGAGACCAACGATTTTCTTACTTCCTGTCACTGCTATGTTTTTTTTCCGCTTCACGCGTAGCTACATCCGGTGTGTCGATGATAGACGGTGACGATGACTGCCTAGAATCAAAATTTCGGAAATGAAACGGAGATGTATTTTAATTATTGCTTCATGAAAGACAAATGACAAAGGAAGATAATTCCTGATTTGGACTGTAAAGTCATTTTTTACTGCTTGCTCGCACCGACTGCAGAATTTGGAAATCTTCGATTTTTAGTAAATTTTGATGTGTTTAACATTATCACAGTGGCAAATTGTCTTATGGACGATGTGGATGCTGGACTATTCTACACGTGTGTACTAATCGTGTGTATGGCAGTTGTTGGATTTCTATATGTTGTCTATATCACGCCATACACTTATGTTTGTGATACGGTGTGATAATTAATTAGATATATAAAAAAACAGCTAACATATATTAGTTTATATCGATCTTTGTTGTCTCTACTGTGATGTTTGGACGAATGGTAATAACAAAACCAATGTGTGCAATTTGATTTCTTACAATATAACAATGCTTTACTTTATTCATGACTTTGTGAATATGATGATACAGATTTGAATTAAAATTTGATTGCTATACATATATTTATTGTTATATCCAAACACTTATATATGTGAATGTAAATATAAATAAATACCATGGTTTTGTTTATCAAATTGAATTTAGAAAATCAACTATCTTCCATAGTGAGATGACATTTTGGAAATTCAGTGCAACCCCCTCCCTCCCCTCACTTGATTCAAACGACAGAGCGTGCATAGAGTCTCGTAAGTTTTCGATGAGGTGAAATGCCATGTTTTGTACAATACATTTACGCCTCGTAAATTGCTGATCTTGGTATAGACCGTTTGGTGATAATTGTTCCTGTATATAATTGGATTGTCCCGGCGTTTTGTACGTCATATCAAGTCTTATGTTATGTAATTTGAAACACTACCTGTCCATTTACTTTTACCTTTTACTCTTACCTTGTACCTTATTTTGAATTTACGTGTGTAATTCAAACACACAACATGAAAATTGGTGTGCCTGCAGTCTGTGAAACAGACAGCGTATTTAGGACTACCTTCCTACCTTCATTTAAGCCAGAGTTTTTGTGACATAAAGAACCATGAGAATTTCCATGGTGGTTTTTGTCGAATTATGTCAGATGGAAGTGAAAAACATCACGCTTACATAGACGCAGTTAATTGTTAAACGAAAAAATACAGAAATATGACGGACTTAGATCACGTGTTGCACGTGTTTGTCACATGATCCCTTACACGCCCCTTTGGATATGTACTTTTAATCAGTGACTCCAACGATCTTGGTGCAATTTGTCTGTAGCTGATACCTACTGATAAACGTTCTGAAGATTTATCAGATTTAGATCACTGGTGAAAAAATAGAACAGGTGAACAAGATTTGTTGTTAATATCACTGGAGACATGTACAAAATGTACTCATACAGGTGAAGTCCAACACAAATGATTCCAAGTGACCCGTTATCAGATACTTCATGTACAAATAAAATGAAATCGTCATATATTGGTCATTTTTCATATATGGAATTGAAACTGGTTACATAAATGTATTATAATCATATTAACATGATATCTTTTGATGCCACTAACTTCAATGAGATACATAGTTTGTTGAAGACGATGCTTTCGTGTGTGCTACACAATAGACAGTGTATCACCGACGATCGCGGAAAATTCAACTCTCCCCAACTCAATTTCAACTTCATGAATTATCTTAAAATCTATTTTCTGAAGACGCTTTACGACACCTGTTGACGTTGTAGATAAACACCAAACATACAGCGTAATGAACAAGGAAAGCCAAACAGAAACATCTATGACATTGGGGGACTAGAAAAAACACTTGTTATGGAAGAAAACAACAGTGATTTTATACTAGCTGGTGACTTCAACTGCCCAAACATAAACTGGGAAAAAACAGACGGCGAACCAACAAGCGACAAACAAAGAAGTAGAAAGGAGACTGATTGATAAAATATTACCGATAGCACGACTGCATGAATACCCAGCTAGAGACAACAACCAGCTAGACCTTATCTTCACCACCAACCCTATTCTAGGTAAGAATTCTTCCAACATACTAGGAATTTCAAAACATGTCATGTTGATTACTGATATATATCCTGTACATTTTAGACACAAAACCACATTTTGGAATATAAAAAAACATTGCCATCTAGTTTTTTTAAGTGTACATTTCAAATTTTTTCGATAGATTGGAGGGGTCATTTTCACATTTCATTTATATTTGGTTATTGGGTTGCTATGTTTGTAAATACTCATTGAAACAATTTCTCAATATCATCAGTTGGCTCATAATCATTGGAGTCTTTTACTAAACTAGGTATGAATGAAGATTTGTTTGGGACATAACTTCTTGTAATTATGCCAATAGCTTTTGTTATTATTATTTTTTACATTGATCTAGAACATTCCTGAAAAATGAGATTTTGAAGATCTTATCATAGAAGTTACTGTATTTCTCCATTTACAGTACAATATGTCCCTCATGCCCGTGTTTGTTATGTATTTGTATAGCTACATTTATGTCATCATGCCACAATTCTCGTATTTTCCTTTCCCAAATAAGGATATGCTTATCAACAACAACAAGGACCAAATATTTTTAAGTATGTAAACATGTCTTTTACGTCATAAAAACATACAAAACATGACCACGGTACATTTTCAATATCTGCACCGAAAGGGTCGATTTTTTTGCATAAATCTATACTGAATAATGTTCTTGGTTTTTCAACTTTTTAATTATTAGTTCTTACCGCACTCCCAGGAAAATGGTCACACGGAGGTAAAATAGGATCTTTTGTACGCGATATCTTCTCTGGTTTGGTAGTTCATATATAAACTATACACGGTCCATCATCTTGCTGAACTCTTGTAGCGACTGTTATAAGGTTTGTCATGTCGAAATTTTTACACATACTATAACGATGCTGATTAACGATAAAACGATCCTGTAAACTGTTAATGTAAAAATCTTCCATGACAATAAATAGTTCTTTCAAAATCACAAAACACTTTGTCAAGCACCGTTTCTAGAGATTTCATCCAACTCATGTCTGTGTTTGTAAGCAGTTGTAAACATTAAACCTTACAGGAACTGCCAGAGAATGTTAACAAATAACTGAATACAAAACGGGCCTTGTCAAATAGTGAAGCAGTTATGAATAGACCGAGACTTTCTGTCTTTAAATAAATAAAATAATGACAATATTAATCAAAATATTCCTACAACGTACTCAGAAATCTTGGATTCTTTTCTAAGGAAAGCAAGTTTATTTACCTCACTAAAGTTTACAGGCTTTATGGTTTGATATCTTTAATATATAACAGCGTGTTTCAGTTTCTCCCTCTGCTTCGTCTTAGAAAAATATGTTGAAGAAAACGGCAGGCAATCAAGTCTATGGTTGATAAAATATCATCGCGCGTGCTATCTTTGGGCTTGCATCTCAAGGGTTGCTAGAGCTAGGCTCGCTAACATTCTCTTGAAATTAATCATAATATCCTGGTTTTATACATCGTATACATACTGTGTATTGTTTCAGTAAACGAAAGCAGCAAACATACATGGAACGTTAAAGTTCTTATTTAAAATGTTAACTGTCATATGAAATCATGCGTCAACATTACATTTTTCTGGGATATATGTACAAAAACAATCGATTAATATATATATATATATATTCTTATAACTCCTTCATTGCGACCCTACAATGTCCGACTTATCAATAAGATTGAGTTTTCTGTGGTCATCAATCCAAGTTTAAGAGTTAATAAAAACCTGCTTCCGTTTTTCATAACTTTGATTTCGTGTTTCCATTGTCCAATTGAGTTCGAGGGTATAAATCTTTCTTCATCACTTGAAGCATATCGCGGTCGAGGCCAGTTGGGCCCAAAGCTCCGAGTATCAATTTCTTGGCGGTTTCTATAAGGGTAGATAACTCTCCCACCTCGTCGATCAGACCGAGGCTCTTGGCTTCACTGGCTGGTATTGATCGGGCGAACAGGACTGCCTCTCGTACTGCTTGTTTGTTTTTCATTTTTACACTGTTGAAATAAATAAATAAATAAATAATAGAAATAAATAAATATGGTGATGTATAGCGGAATGTTTCTTCTTAGGCTGTCAAAATAATTAATACATATGCACCTCACCATTTCACGACAGAGAATATAAACAAAACCAGTCATGTTCATCTCCTACATAGTAGACACCTGCACATGTTTAATGTCACAAAAACTTATAAAGATTTGTATAATCCCCCCTACCCGTCCCTCACCGTGTTACATTGTGGATTATTCACCTGAGGACCTCCAGCGTAGCAGGGGGAATGCGCATCCCAACACGTGTTTCATTCATGGAAAACCAGCCTTTTTTGGAATTCATCACAAGGTAGTCATGCGCAATAGCCAAAAAAGCACCACCAGCAAATGCATGGCCTAAAACGAACGAATGATATAAAACGGATACTTTTGCGGAAAAAATATAGAATGATAATGAAATATTAGCAATACTGAAGTAAATAAATAAATGATAATAAAAAAAAAATATAACAAATCAAAAGATATCCCCCCTCAAAAACAAAACAAAACAAACATAAAACAGACTGCCTGGTTAACGGCTGACTTAATTAACACTCACCATTAAGTGCAGCAACTGTCGGGAGTGGAAAATGAAGGATTCTCCAAAACAAACCCTGGATTTCGGTGCGGAAATTCAAATGAACTTCTTTGTTCTGTTTCATCATCCATTCTAAATCTACACCATTGCTGTAGAATTTACCTTCACCAGTTGTTATCAAACCTTTGCAGTTTTTATTTCTGAAAGTTGTAGAATATTTCCAATATCTTAAAATGATTTTTACAAATCATGTGGCGTCTCAAAACTAGAAAATATGTAGATGAGTGTTATACCCTCACTCCAATGCATATAAAATATCATTTTGTAAATGAACTTGCAGAAGTTTACTTATTTGACCCCTCAATATAGATGCTAAAAGCAAGATAAAAATGATTTAAAATGTAAACAGTTTTCGTAAACTTTTCAGCTGATATTGATATAAAAATTACCTCCCCTTATCCACATTGCTTACCTGAGAACCTTATCGAGGTTTTCATTGAGAAGCTGTATAAACTTGCTATTCAAACGATTCTGACCATTTCTCATCGTCAGGATAGCAAATCCATCTTCAGTGAATTCCACAGTAACTTTATCTGTCGACATCACGAATAAATTAGCCTCCAGTCGATCGACTGTAGCTGTCAAATTAACACTGGAGCGGTTACTAAATTTAGTAACACTGTGTTTAAACTTTGAACGGTCATGTGACCGGTGTATAATCGGGGACGTCCATGCCTAGTCACACATAAACTAGGCCTTTTGTCCGGTGTGTTTTCCAGATGAGATATCAGTTATGTATAAAAAGGACTTGATCATTATTTTTATTTCTTTTCGTTTATTTAGGAAGTTATTTATCTGAAAAGAGATTTCTGATATATTCTGATAATTTTCGACTTTAAATTTCAGTTTTCCCCCCTGACAATCAACGTTGTTTTTATATCAAGTACATAACAGGGCTGTATAATCCAAAAAAATTATGTCAGTACATGTATTTGTTTGGACGAAGATAACGTTACGAAATGTTCACGCCGAGAAATTTTACTAATTACAAATAACTGAAATTTAGATAATCAATGGTATTATTTTCTGATTTTTGTTTTGTTTTTTTACCCTTTTCTTTCACCGTTTTCTTTTTTTGAACTTTTCCTATAGTTTGTAGTTCAAGCTGAGAATGAATGTTGATTTTGTTTATGATTTTGTTTCAAACATATTTCTAAACTCAGAAAGCTGAGCTAAGCATGGAGTTGTCTTGGAATGACATTCACGGTCGTCATACATGACAGAGCTTAGCAGACAAACATACCTTATTGCATGCAGTATGATAATAGATAAATACTTTAAAAATCTCTCCCTTTCTTTTCACGTATGAAACATTTACGCCTCCATTAACTCAATATCAACCAAAATCTGTATAAAGTAGGAGAAAGATATGGATATTTTACGTACGGAGATTAAGGTCCAAATCAGTGCCTATATAGAATAACTTTGTTGTTGATATTTTGTAGTTGTATGATTTCTGTTCAATAAATATGGTCACCTTTTATGTACCTTTCGAGAGCAATAGAAAGTAAACCTATTTGTTGTCACAGACGCTAGGTACTTTTATCAATAATCTTATCAATGAAAACCTCCGTGTAGAAACAATGTTTTTTATGATGTATGCTATTTTCGAGGTCAATAACTTTGAAAACGGCAAGATTCATAATTTTGTCTGCTTCTTAATTACATTTGAATTCATGGATACTGTAATTTGCGAATTCGTATTTCCATATTTAGATAAGCATTTAATTTTGACATAAGTATTAAGTACCCGTGGCATTCGTGAGTACGTTTAACCTCCGAAATAAAGTGCCAACAAAGAAATGATTATCTTTTTCTCACAAAATGAGAGCACCACGAAAATGTATGTTTTTTACAGTTTACATAAGACAAAGAACTCTAACAAAAAGTTACTATATTAAAAATTTATTTTATAAATCATAACATTTTTAAAACGTTTCAGTATTTACAGTGCAATAAAAGCAACATGATGAATTTACAGGTATGACGAGAATGTTGAACATCCCGGTTTCCAACATTTCGTGACATTATATATATAGAATGCTTTTGTAATGTTTGAACTATGATAAACAAAATGTCTGTTTTAAAATTTGTGTTTAGCAGTTAGCCTGGTCAGCTTTCACAAAGTGGTTTGTATCAATGTTAAAACTTTTGAAGACATTCATCAACTCGTCAATCTTGGCTTGTGAGAGAGATCGTTCTCTGGACATAATCCATGCTTGTTCTAGATGGCTGATTCCGACGATGTCGATACAAGAGTAGATGAGTGTATATGACGTGTAATCTGTTTTCAGTACCCAGTAGTTTCCGTAAGGCGTATCTGTAGCAGAGCAAAATCATTTTTTTATAGATACGATTTTTGATTTCTCGATTTGTTTTATCGTCAAAAAACTTCATTTAAATGTGTGAACTTTTGAAAAAGGTCGTAAAAATGAAAAAAAAATGTAACGTCGATTTCAAATAAAGGAAGTTTCGTATTGAAAACTATATAATTCACAACAGCAACAAATAAATGAACACGAACACCGATTTTTGTGACATCACTTTCCTTGACATTCGTCCTGTAACGTTAGTATCGACTTCCGGTTTTAGCTAATTAGCAATCAATATAATATTCAATTTATTACATACGTACGATTTCTAGAGAAATTATCAAATCTAACTTTCAGTGATAACGGAAATTATAATTAATGAGGTCAGTAGGTAACTTACGTGCTGCGAATCTAATTTTGAGTTTAGAGGGAGAATTCTGGACATCATTTTGGTAAGCGTCACCGATGGCTATTGAAGGCTTGCCTGATTTAGGACTGTAATAGAGAAAAAAATGTAATATAGCAAATTGTTTTGAGAAATTATAAATTAAAAATATTCCACGGTAGATCAAAAGCGAAAGCCGGATTTTGAGAGAGAGTGAGGGAGAGGGAGTATGTGATGAGTTTAACTCCAATTCATTCCAATCAGAGAACATGAAGTAAAACTACAATTATTGACTCGCTATGATGTTGATCGTGACATTTTTTAACTTACTCGAGTCCCTCATTGTGTACGTATACATGGTTATTGGCTTGAAGAGTGTAGTTGGCGGTGATACATCTCTGTCCGGACTCGTAACTGGTAGGGAATCTGTATAATTCATACCATATCCCAAGATACTGAAAGTAAGATAGTCAGAGTTAACAAAAAATTGATGTAAACACAAGCTTACTTATATATTGGTCTTAATTCAGTAAACAGTTATCACAAAGCCTTTGTCAGTTCATAAGCTCAACAACCGGTTTGAGAGTTTCTCTTAGTGTGTAAAATACTGATTAAGTATGAGGCCAACGGATAGTTTGCTGAATCCTAACACTGAACACTGTTGCCCAAGGAATTGCAGACAGAGGGCACAGTTCGAATAAAAGTGGTTTCAGTTGAAAATGTTTCGGTACAATATTGATACGTGTGATATTTTCAGATATTTAATATCGGTATTTTTAACTCTTTTTTTTTCATTCTTATTATCATAGTAAGAATGGTTGATGGCTTGTATGTGGCAATCCCATCTATCAATATATCTATTTATACAATTAACGATCCTTATATAAAAAATTTCAAATTTAAAGATTTTTCTCCTTTAAACAGTCAAGGAATCGAATAATCCCGCCACACACACAAAAGAAAAAAATAACAAAATATAATTTCGTTATGTTCTTGATAGGTGGGGTATGATTTTCACTGTGGTGGATTGATAAAACCATACGCATGGAAACTGTACACGTGAACTCTATCTATGTGATTCACTGTAAAATTGGGATGAGTTATACTAATTAAAAAGAAATTGAATTCTGGCTCTAAACAGTTTGAAAACTAATTTGGTTTTTTAAATTAGGAATATCGCAAATTCTGCATTGAAAAAAATAGCTGTACCCCGTTACTTGTAAATGATATGACTTACCTGATTGAGGTCAAAACTTTGCTGGGTGGTCACTGTAGGACATCCCCCAAAACTGAATGACTGTGCCGAGGAAAGGGCCACGAACGCGGCCAAAAGGAAAACCTGTCTAAGCATTGTTGTGTTAAAACTCGAGTCCTGGAGAGTGTGCAGTTTTACCGAAATTACGCTCGTCTTATATAGGCGGTGGGTAGTTCCAGTTCACATGTTTTGGAGCGTGTTTCCGAAATTTGAATTATGCAAGTAAGGTTATGAAACATTTTCACCTGAGAATTGTACGTAGACAACCATGATCACATTCCAGTGTTGTCGCCGTGGAGGGCAAGGCTTAAAACCGGACATATGATCGGACAATATTGATAGATTTCGCGAACAAAAGAGCATAACATAGGAACGGTAACAAGATCTTAAGGTGATGAAATAAAGACAAAATTTGTAAGGACAAGGAAATGGCACCGAAACCCATGCCAAGAAAGTGGAAGAAAAATAATATGAGGTATTCTGCAAGGTAATCGTCATTTAAATATTGGTCAATCCTATGGAGCGATGATGCGTTCCATTAGAGAACACGGTAAATAACTATGAAATCACTAGGTATATAAACGAGCATAGGATAATCTGGTCTCGTATTACATAAGGAAATTAAATATTTCCCAATGAGATAATTTAAATTCCATATACTTTTCATCTTAACATTTATCTCTCGAAATACTGTGTTGAGTGACAAATTCGACTGAAATCGTGAGATTGGGAACTAACAATTGAATACAGAATCTACTGCGAGAAATTAACATCATATGTTGAAAAAGTAAGAACGTTACTATCAATAAATGTAAAATACCCATGACAACAGGGAATTTGAAATCTCCTAACACTTATCACCAAGAATTGTGACAGGCTGTCCGCATTTAGTTACGTTGTACGTGGTTGGTAAAAGTCGTGTCCTTGATTTCCAATTTTGATGGGTATATACAATAGACATAGTCAAAAAACGCTATTTATATAGAAGACGTTATCAATATGTCTAACAGTGTTATCGGAGGACTAGACAAGGTATTTTTAACTTGTATTGAAAATATCTTCAATGCATTAATAAAATACCCTTCATCAAATCAACTGACATATTTATAACCAAACATCCTATAATTCAAGGAAAGATGGTTTTTACCATAAATGACGGCATTTTAAGCTTTGTTGTTGTTTTGAATTTGTATTCGTATTTCGTTATCAATGGAGAAAAACCTATATATATATATAAATGAAATTTTGTTGGAAAAAAATAGACATGTTTGTTAAAATGATACTTCGTTTTGCTGTTTTCTTTAAAGATATGGTCAGCAGGTTTCATAAGTGTGACCTAGAAAACAAGGTAACTGATAGGATTCAGCGTGAAGGGTCAAGACCCTTCCGTACATACCGGAGTTGTTGGGTTGTATTAGTAGCACTTTGTAACTTTCTCTAGTTCACGTGTCCTTACGAGTGAGTTTGAACAGTTAATGTTTACAGCATAGTTTGTAGTCATAATACGCTTTTCTGCATCGTAAGATCAAAATTATAAAAAAAATGCCTTACGTCATTGATAGTTCGTTTGATAGATGGACTTAGTGAACAGCCTTGGTCATTTTGAATCTGAATCTGCTTGAAGATCTTGGTGACTACATCACTGAACAGCATACGAGAGACCCGACGCAAGTCATCCAGAGAAATTTGGAGTGAAGCGATTTGCCAAGGACAAAACCATATCAGCACATGCCGTTCCGTTTCTCACCTTTTTAAGAAAAACAAACAGCCAAGGGAGAGGAACGTGGAACAACGTTCCTCTGATCTGTTTTCATAGGCACAATACTCTACAGAATGAACCATCATCAAGATCAATCATTAAGCATGATTCTATATTTCCCCCGAATTTAGAAAAGTAAAGGATTGACTTTCCTAAAGTTATTGTCGATTTCAATATTTCCTTTCGTTTCAAACTACTCAAATACTTTCTGTTGCAAAACAAAACTTATCCATCCCTGAAATCTTAATCGTACACACGCGGAAGCATTGAACGTGTTTCTGTCAATAAAAAAAACTGATCAATTGATTAACGGATAATGTTTGAGTGCACCTCTCCATCTAGATTTCGATTCTAGATTTCTTTTATTCAATTTGGATTTTCTTCATTTGCCTCCAACTTAAAGCATCACTGACGAGTCCTGGAAAGATGAAACAGCTGTATGATGTAGCATCATTGACGAGACCTAGAAGGACGAAACAGCTGTATGATGTAGTATCACTGACGAGTCCTAGAAAGATGAAATAGCTGTATGATGTAGCATCACTGTCGAGTCCTAGAAGGACGAAATGGCTGTATGATGTAGCATCTACTTTATCTTATCTGGATATATATTAAATGGTGCTATTTATTTTATGTCATTCTTCTTTAGTATAAGTGTTTATTTCAATTACAGCTTGATTTCATTGTTGATCCTACATATTAGAAAAACATTTTTGTTAATAAAATGTTTTGATGAAATGATTAACGAATATGGTTACAACAGTGATTGTATGGACAATTTAATCTGAAAGCAGTTAAGTTGAAATTGATTTATGTTTAAATCTTTACACGGTTTTAGGATACTAGTTTCATGTTTTGTCATCACAGTTTCTATTAATCTTATGTTGAACAATACTTTAACCTTTGGCCTGAAACAAACAGACCTAATCTCCCAATAGCGGCAATGACCCCAACTCCGGAATTTACTGGATCCTTATCAGGGACAACATTTCGTAACTGTACGATTTGCGTAAGGCTGGACAAAAATTCACGCGTAAAAACATGTGAAATATCACGGGCAGCCGTGTTATATAAAGACTGAATTTTACGAAAAAAATTCAGATTCTTTCCTCAGTTGAAATTGAAGTGATTACATTTCTACAGTCATGCTTAGACAAGGATTGGTACTCGCTGTCGTTGTTGCTTTCACTTCGGCACAAACTTTCAGTTTTGGACATTGTCCTGTAACGCACACGCAAGATAACTTCGATCTTTCTAGGGTAAGTTTGAAATAACTGGTGTCATTTTATATGTTAGAAAACAAATGGCATAACTATCATTCATTTATCACTGGTTTGATGTTTTTTATTTAACATGATTTTATATTAAATGTAAAGAAATGTTTATAAATTATATGTAGAAGGAAGTGATGAGAACTTGAAACAGAAATAGCATTAAGAATATGATACAAACTACACTGCTGTTCTAATAGATGTAAATCGTGACTTCAGCGAAAAGAAAACTTCAAAAAAGATATCTGTTTTCAATTTTTGGATTTCGATCTACGTTAATATCGAAACGCGTAATAATCTGCAAACATGATTTTTTTTTGAAAAACACAATCAGACGAAATCAGTACTATGATTGTTAATGTCAAAGGGAAAATTATATTTGTTTTATCGTTTTTATGGCACTTCATAAGATACAATGTACGTCGGAAACTGTACTTAACAGACGTACAGCTCAATCATCATTACTATTGTAATATCATGTATTTTTTTGTGGGGTACAAATTTTATGATTCCTAAAACTTTCTATTTGCTGTATTCTTGATTTCTTGAACAAATATATCTAAATAAATCTTCTTATACATGGGCATATGAATTCGTTGAAAATGCTACAATTCGTTAAATAACAGCACCCACGATTTCAACGAAATTAAAAGGAAACACTGTGTATTACATTGTTACTAATTTGAAACTGAAGAAAATAGTCTAAAAGGAAACGTATGCATCTTGTTAACACTATGATATTAATCACGGATTATCAATCTTGCAGTACGTTGGAGACTGGTATGAACTTTACAAATTCCCAGCCAGTTTCGAATCAGGAGAGAAATGTATAGTAGCAAACTACACTCTGACACCAGACAACCATATCAAGATCAAAAACCAAGGAATTGAGTGAGTATACAAGGATTTTAAAATTTAGTCATCATCAAATATGTTATTGAAATGATGGCATGTAGCCTAGCACTATTACTCGTAGATCATTTTGATAAAAATATATCAAACTTGATTTTTAACCAAATGAAATGAATAAAGTAAAAAAAAAATGTGCGTGTTCCTTTGAGATCACTTACCTGATGAATTAAGTAATACATCCACCACTAAGACACATTTCCTTTTCCACAGTCCCAAAACAAGAAACAGCTCAATTGCCTTCGGAGATGCCATCCAAACGGACCCCAATTCACCTGCTAAACTCAAAATCAGATTCGCAGCAAGTGAGTAATTGCGATTTTCTATTTTTCCCCCAGTTTTTATTTAGAGATATAGCAGTACAAGCAAATACAATTATGAATAGATCGAAACCTAATAATTAAAACCACCTTGGATACTTAACGAAAGTGGTCTTCACGGCGATTTGTTCTGGATAGCGAAGATGACCAGGCAGACAGAGTATACTCTCAGTCAGTAAATAAGTTTGTAGGTTTTATAACATTAAACATACCGTAATTAAAACTAAGGTTGCCAGTTTGACACCTGAATACAGTTAACTGATCTGACACCTGGCAGATGTACATAGTGGGATATACATCAGGTAAATTTGTGACTGGTCAGTGGTCGGACAAGCGAGATGAAATTCAGTGCAAAACTAGTCTTAGGGCCTTATTCTAAAGCTGTCTTAATTTCGAAAAGATCTTGATAATGAGATTGTCTGAACAGTGAAGACAAAAACCAAAGATAGAGGTTTTTGTGACGGAAATAAAGTGGTCTTAAGATCGAGGTGGTCTCAATTCCTATGTGATCTTTAAACACAGTTTCATTGTTTACATTGTACAATCTTTGAGATTGCAGGTGGTTGACACTGCTGGTGGACTATTATTTATTCGAATATTAGCACGGTTCAGAACTTCTAAAGTTATCATATATATTAAATTCTGATTTTCCTCAGTAGCAGCATAGGTTTAATAGGTTTTAACATCACTGACGAGTCTTAGAAGGACGGAACAGCTGTATGATGTATAATTTAATTCATTGTTTGACTCTACTATATCTTATTTAAATTTGAATTTAATTTCTCTTTCCAGACACACCATACGGCAATTACTGGGTTCTTAAAACAGACTACACGTCATACACTCTCATTTACTCCTGCACTGATATCATTGGAATCAGCCATCTTGAATTTGCTTGGATTCTTTCCCGACAGAGGTCGCTTCCACAATCGAAGATTGATGAACTCTTTAATGTTTTCAAAAGTTTTAACATTGATACAGGCCATTTCATCCCATGTGATCAAACTGGTTGTTGAACAAATAATTTCATTTAAAATACAAATTTTTGTTTTAATGTAATGCTCTCAAGTGATGTATGTTGATCTCGTTTCTGTTTTTGTCTTTGTTATATTTTTTCTGTAAAGCACAATAAATTTGAATAAAATAATGAAACTTTCACCTGTGTCGACGTTATTTTAAGGAAATGGGTACAGCTGTGGTATTTAAGGATGTCTTGGTGTATGCAAGATAAATTTATGTGTGGAACGTATGTGTTATGGGAAGCTGGGTGGATATTCTAGTGCTACTAAAGTACAGTATACTAACGCAGGCACAAGAAGAACATCCTACGTATCCGATTACGTTATACTAAAAAGTAGATGATCGACTATAATGCTGAAAGTTAAGAAGGAAATGGTCATTACCATTTTAAAAAACTTTGATATGCCTCGGTCAGTGGGTAGAATCTAGTTTTAGTTGCATTTCCTTTATGGTATGAATGTGGTATTTTTTATATTTTACTCTTCCTAAATACAGCAATTACGTTTGCCTCAGAAAACAGGAGTGTAAAGCACATTAAGAGACAAACTTAAATGGATTTGTAACAACACATCCAAGAATTTTAGTTACACAGTTACACTGCAAATCAGAAACTATGGGTTAGGACATCTGATTATATTCTGATAAAATTAGTAACGATTTATCATTGAATATTGAAATATAATGTATCGATAAAAAGAATAAACAAACTCGTAAAAACAAATTTAAAGTCTTTAATTAGTAACTCAAAATGTTTCACATGAGAAAATGAACAAATGGATTAATAGAGAAAATTGAAGTCTATGGGTGAATAATGATATAGTAGAAAATGATGAGAGAATCTGAAAAACATTACACTGCTACCTGTCAACAAATATCTCGATTGCATTCATATACTGCAAAGGTTGTTTTTCGATGGTTGAAATTTTAAAGGTTTTACCAAAAGCTTTCATTGTCTAAATAACTTTTGAAAAAATGATATTTTCAAGGCAATAATTTTTCAGGTGGTTCGAGGATAAATTTTCGTGGATGTCATGAAATAGACTTTAATTTCAATTTTATTTTCAAGGAATCTATTTTCATGGTTTGATCCATTCACCAAAATTGTTAAAAATAAAAACGCTCGAAAAACTACTTTTACGGTATCATGTCATTTTAACGACAGTCGTTATGTGATCTTTAATAATTACAGAGATCAGAATATCAGTAATAGGTAACTGGTATAGTTTTGTGCTATGGCACAACATACATACTATATGATACTGTCTCTAGTCCTAAATGAATTACGTTTTACAAGATGATACCAATTTATAGGAACATAGATTTACATAATACTAAATATTCAAAATATGCAACAACGGGAAAATCAAAAATACATTTTAACAGACAGCATTTCAAATCTGCGTTCATAAATCTGTACAATGTGTATTTGTTGCCAAGTCATAACCGGGTAGAACTCTTCATGAAACATGTTTTCGTCATTTTAACCAAAAATTATTATCCATCGGTTGCATTCTGAAAATTGTAAATAGATTAAAAGAATGAGAAAATACAAACGAAATATCTTATGAAGGATGATAAATTTTGAGACATTCATAAGTGTATAACTGTATTTTTAATGATCTTAACACAAACTTACATGAATTAATATTTTTGCATTTGACCATGTACAACAAAATCATATATATATAAGACCTAAATCTGGGAGAGGCGATACACTAGAGAAAATATGCTGATATATCAACTTCAAAATATCAAATTTTCATATACATAATTTCATATACATCTTTGATTTATCAAGTACTGACCCTACTTTTACACCTTCTTGATAAAGTTATGTATTATTCAGTTACTTCATGTTACAATTCGCCTACCGGTCAAATCAAAGCAAAACATAACTGGTTTCGTTACCTTTTCTCCAATTTTCGCCTTTTTCTTTTTGAAAATGACGCACAAAACCCCAGTAGCCACACCAACCACCACTAACAGGCAGGCTCCAATGATGATTCCTAATACTAGGGAAAAATAAGTAATTGAACTAATTGGAAAACAATCATAATCTTCTACAATATCGCGGTAATAGGTCTGAATTCAAAGTTTAATTATTGCTTTTTGAATTTAAAGCTGCATACAAAACAGAAAGTTTTTGTGAATTAAAATGGTTCCGAGTTGCAATCCCCCATATCAAAGGAAGTAGGTATGCATGTTCGTATCTATAAAAATCTGCCGAATATGAATAACGTCATCATTAACTCAATTTTTACAATATCAGTCTGAATTATGACACTAAGGTAGAAGAAACAAAGACTATTCGTAAAAGATAATTTGAAGGATATTTGCTCCTATCTATTATAAACGATGTCCATGATTTATTGCAGGTATTGCAGATGATTTTACGCAAATGTTGGAAAGCTATTGTACCGTTAAGTGAGTTATGTTCACAGTAATTCAGTACAAACACAACGTGTTGGTTTTATCTTGTCGTTGGTAAGTATAATTTGTTATGATAACATACCTGTACCGCTCATTCCCTGAGATGCTTTTGATGTGTTCGCTGAAATGGGATGCATTTTCGTTATTTTATTACAACTATGAAACCCTCTTTAACTGGTGAAAATAACTGAACACCTCTCAAAAAGTGACGATCACTTATAACTTTTGTCTCTTAAAAGAAGGGAAACGATTATTCAAGGAATAAGGATTCGAAATTTGAATAAGGTTTTAACATTAGAAATACGATCTAGCCGCTATTCATAGAATATTGCAAAATTCTTTTTATTCCAGAGTGAAAACTGTTTATCACTATTAATGTTTTGTTTATAATATAGGGTATCAACATTTACCTTGAGATAAGACTGTGGTATTTCCAATAGTTGTATGGGGATTCATCGAGGGTTGGGTGGCTACAAAAAATTCAATAAAGTAAACCAATTTAACAAAATAAGCCATTTTTGTTTACAACAACCGTTTACTTGAGTCATTTACATAAATCCACTTTTAAACAAATTTATTAGATCATTGCCAGAGCAGAACAGAACAATAATTCAGCCCTTGTGTCGAATTCATACCCTGGCTTTCATAGGACGATGAAAACAGCTGTATCATAATCACAAGGTTTGTCTTTGATACGATACACAAAATACAATCATGATAATATATAACACAGAAGTGCGGTTCAAGTTGATTTTTAAAATGGCATCGATCTACAGGGTAATGTTAAAAACAGTATACAAATGCGCATGGAAGTGGTGAATTTTGAAAATGATGATACATCTTTATACAAACCATAGAAACTAGGTATGAAAATATTTAATAATAAAGAATTCTAGATATTAAAATTTGAATGAGTTAAGATGCATGTGTTATTCGCATATGCTAGAATATTGATCTAGACTATGAAGAATTTTGTATTTTGATGTTCCCGTGAATGTTAAACTGTGCTTTATACAATACCCTAATTAAGTGTAAGATAACCAGATCTTTAAAAAAAACATACATGTGATTTAAAACAATTCATACAGTAGTGCAAATTTCACCTGGTATAGCAATGCAAGTATGTTTTATAAAAAGCAATACATAGTTTACACTCTGTTATGCATATGCATGTAACCCTAATTTGAATCGCGACGTCAATGGTGTTCTGGAGGGAGTTGAAATTTTATACAAGATGAAAAAAGATGCTAAGGAAATAGGTCATGTAAAAGGATTGCTACTAAATGCGAATGTATAGAAAAATTAAATGTCGCCTTCAACTGTGAAAACATACATCATATTAAACAGGGGAACATATATCAGAATCCCCTATATTTTTTCACATGGTGATGATCCTAACAGTAAGGGATTTAATTCACAGCACAGCTTTCCATCTGTGGTTGACTATCATTTCGATTTCATTGAATTACCTGTGGATGAGACAGATGATGACCTGACCCCAATTGTCGATTGGTGAGTAACTGATGATAGTATTGCTGCAATCGAAATGGAAGTCAATTTAATTTGGGTGAATCAGTTCGTTTTGAAAGTTTGACTATTTGTACGAAAATTTTATACATTAATTTTACATTTAATACAATAACTTAATGATCATTGTCTTCATAAAGATATAATTGATATGCATACAATGGGATTTAGGACCAAATTAGAACATGAATTATGATTTAACATACATTGCACCTTGATTAAAAATCATATAGATAAATAAGGCTGATTCGTTGTAAATGTGATATATCATATGTATGATAAAGGACATGATATTTCGTTGTATCGTTGATAATACACCATTTGTTTACCTGGTCGGGATAATGTAGTAGGATTTCCGCCGTCGAGGTGAATGGTAACTGCATGGGATATTGGGGAGGTTGGACCTACGACACCAGTTCAAATTATATTTCTCTTTAGCAATATTAGAACCAGATATATTATCTTCTTACAGTAACAAAGGACGATAGATGATAATAAATTTCCTTTACTGACCATAATTAAACAAAATTCAACCAATTAAAACGAAATAACTATTAACTAATAATTTAAATTATACTGGTTGTTTTAGAATTGGTATCTCAAGATACATGAAATCGTTTTCGTTATATGAAGCATAAAACAATTTACATAATTTAAACTTCTTTCTTCAAAATACCTTGATTTAGAGACATTAAGAATCAAACTATTGAATCGCGACAACAAGAAGTATACATACAGCTACCGGAGTAGGGTTCCCAAAACCGCACTACCATACTGCCATTGTTGGACTTCTGAGTCATTTTACCTCCACCCCAGTTTTGGTTGATGTAAATCAGATACTGGTTGCTATGGTGGACGTGTTGCCATGGATATATAATTCTTGGACCATAAGCGTACACGATTCCGCCAAACGATTGTAAGGGGTCGGAGTTCTGTACCGCTCCCATTCCAGGGAATGAAAATCCGTCGTTAGCGCCATCATTTGCCTTTACCTATAAAAGAAATAAATAGATATAACATTCACTGAATCAATTATTTGAATATAACACTAGTTTTTTTTTTATCATATCATGTTGCGTTATATGGAACAATCTCTCGAATTGAATCACTACAAAATCAATTAATTGCACAAAGTACAGTTGTTTAAAACAAGCTCAAATAAATACATTTGCGAATAAATAAACGGAGCATGTCCCGTGTAGATAATGAGTATTAATGTAGCTTGTAAAACATTACGTACTTGAAAAGAAGCAAAATTATATTGAACCCAATCTGTTGACGATTTCGTTATATACCCTGTTTTTTACTTTTATTTCAAAGAGGTCAAGCATCCCCACCCTCAACACATTCACAAACCGCCAACGCCCACTCCCATCCCCACCCTCAACACATTCACAAACCGCCAACGCCCACTCTCATCCCCACCCTCAACACATTCACAAACCGCCAACGCCCACTCCCATCCCCACCCTCAACACATTCACAAACCGCCAACGCCCACTCCCATCCCCCACCCTCCACAAATTCACAAACCGCCAACGCCCACTCCCATCCCCACCCTCAACACATTCACAAACCGCCAAAGCCCACTCCCACCCCAACCCTCAACACAAACAGAAACTGAACACATGATTAACATTCACCGTAAGGTAAATCATTCCAGTGTCGATGTCCAGCAAGTTTCCTTTTTTCTGCGATGGTTGAAGTAGAGATCTTTTTCTTTTGGTATTACTCAGTTGTGATGCTTTGTAGTATACCAGGTCACCGTTAAAGTGGCTCCATACCCGAACTCTTACAAAGCCTTCATTCCAATATTCCTTTGACCCTCGACCCCAACCATCAGCAGTACTGAACAAGCTTCCTACAGTAGGAAATCCATAAGAAGCATTGCCACACTTTAAACATAGTGTCAAGAATGTGAAAACGTTCAGCCAGACGATACAGAAAAGGAATGAAATGCATTGTACCATGATGAATAATTAATTAAATTTCAATAAATGTACTTAAATTATTATCATATAGTGCAAGACTAAGTATAAGATATTTCAAAAATTCAGTATGTCGACACAAAAACAAAAACAAAAGGAAAATCTGTCATATTATTTCACACGTTCAACAGAAAATATGGGATAGATTTTAGCATTACAATAATATGCAAATGCAGATGAATGTTGGAAGTTAATAACAAGGAAAGGCATGAGATTCGTCACATCGATATTTCTTCTCTGTTCCTTTTAAAACAATATTCCATTATAAGTAATTTTAAATCTGTAGTTAAATGGTACTAGATATTGATTTTACCCGAGTCAAATCCTGGCACCCATATTCTAACATGGCTGTCATTGAATCCGTAAATGACACCTCCCCATGCAGACTGCTGGTTAAGTGATTGAATATTCATTGCAGACCCTGTAAGTAATTTTATTATCTTTTGAATAAGTAGAAAATGTCGATACAGTTGAAGTTTTCGAAAACAACCATTGTTCTAATACAAAGAAAAAAGACTAAAACTGACACTTAGTAAACGAAATCAGCGTGTGTGTTGAATAATTTTGTAGTTTTAGACTTTTATTGTTCCTTAAAACTTTGTGATATCTCTATCGTTTCTATAAATGAGTAAATGTATGAAAAAAAAAAAAAACAATCAAATACCTTAAAGATATGCCATCAGCAGACGACAACCTCTTGATAAAAACTAAGGCAGAAGACAAAAACGATTAAGAACGCATTAAATTTGACAAATTAACATCAAAGAAAAAACACCTTACCAATGCCATCAGAATACCAATTAGAATTCTTGTCTTTTATCTGCACAGAAACATATTCTGGATACGTTCCTAGCCCATGTGGAATTTCTTTAAATGATCTGCTGCCTGAAACAAATATACAACTATGAAAAGTAAAGAGACATAGCGTTTCCCTCGGTTCCGAGTCTATATTGACAAATGAAAATGACCACGGCAAGAAACGAGTAATAATGCTTCAAAACTCAATAACTGAAAATAAATTAATAAATAAAACATTTTAATAAGAGAACGAAGGCGTTCCTTTAGATTGCAATTATGGTATTGTGGTGTAGAAAAATATTATGAAACATTCCCATAGGACTACAGCATACATCAGTTTTCGTCCTTATTAGTGTTGCTAAAGGCTTTAAACTGTGAAACACAAGAGGTTACTTCGGACAATTCAAACTCGAGCACTTAGTATCATTCTCATTGTACTTTTCTAGGAAACTCCGTGTAAATCTTTCTTTTGTTCATATTTTTATTTATTGTATTTCATTATTGCATTTGCATTGTAATTAAAATCCTGTAGACCTGTTGAAATTATCTCTCATTAATTAATGTAAAGACTGACTAAATGAAAATCTACCACGTTAAACCTCTCACTTTAACAGTACCAGTAATCCGAAAGAGTTTTGCCAGCGTTGAAGGTGTCCGAACTATCGAGTGTCTACTTTATACAATTACGGCCGATAATTAATCGTACACTCACCATTATTCACTGATATCGGAAACCAGTCAGAATCGAATTGTGGAGCAGGAAAACTACAATTTGTCCACACTTTTGCCCTCACCTCTGCCCTATTTTCTGTCATAATGAAGGAGCCAGTCCATGTGTTGTTTCCTATACGTAGATTAAGAAATAGATATACTGTAATAATATTTTCCGTTATGTTTGTTGAAATAATCGTGTCTATATGGAAATATCATGAAGTGTCATATTTTTAAAAGGCTATATACTGAGAAAAGTAACTACATCAATTTTTTTCTACATTTAATATATTCATGTTGTTTGTACTTTACTGCCTGTAAATAATATCATTATGCATCTTAATATTTTATTCTTATTATGTAGTTATAAATAAAAGTTTTTTTAATCCTTCACAAGTGTTTCAATAACATTTTGCAATTTTTATTGTGTATCTTAATATTCACTGAAAATAGAATTTTGTCTTCAAGCATTTTTTTTCATTCAATTGAATTCATATGAAAAAAGTCATTAAATTATTTTTTTTATATTTACCTGTATAGATGATTGTTCCAGAGGAGCTATCATCATTTCTATTGGGAACATATAACACAACCGAGATGTCGTTATACTTGTAGACCACGCCCCCGTAAGTACCCGGCTCGTCATCATCTCGTTGGGCGGAGCCAAGTCCCGGAAACACGTAATCAGATGTATTTATAGGTTTTACCTGTACGTCTACTTTAATTGGCACTTCATTTAATCCGTGTTCTACTATTTCTTCAGACTGGTCTGTTTGTGCCTCCATTAAGATGTACGAACTAGTGAAATCTGGAGCTTTAAAACATCCTCCGCAAACACCATCGGCTTCTGTACAAGTGTTTAATTGTAGGTTATTTTATTGTTATTGTTGAACGATAATAACAGTGAAAATTTATCGAGGACATGTACTGTTATACAATACCAAATAGGTAAATTAAGATTTTTGTTTTTAATTATACGTATGAAGATCTTTCAAAGATAGCCAAGAAAAAAATATCCCTTTTAAACGGTTGCAACACAGTAAATCAAGAGCCAAGACACAAAACAAGTAAAAAGATGCCGAGAGGCGAAACACATACAAAACACTGCAGTAAAAGTAATCTGGCGACACCCAAATAAGTTAAGCATCATAATCATTTACAAACGTGCAAAGGCTAATTTAGAAAAGTTTATTTTTCCTTTTCATTAAAGTTAGGAATCACCACATTACACTAGTCAGTGTAAAAATAAAAACACATCGAACTTGGTGAAAACAAGGCTATAATCGTGTGTTTTTTAACAGCGTAGTTTTGGATACCACCGGTAGAAAACCCAAACTTCGAAATTTGCCCCGTCAATCAAATAAGAAGAACAGTGCTAAAAGTGGAAATCATTTGAATGAAAGGATTAATTTTGTAATAGCTGAAGTATATATACAGCTTCAAAAGAATGCAAAACGGAAGTTTTCTTCTTGAACTACACTCGAGTGATGTTAATGACTTTGGACTTGGAGTTCGGGAATACAGAACCGTTTTCATTTCTTAGACAAAATAATTCACATTTCAAACGTTAAATTCGATCAATTAGGGACGGTGTATGGTGCAGTTTAAGACGCAGTTGGGCAAATAGCGGGCGTGTTTATTTTTGACGGATTTGTGTCGACAAGGGTTATCTATCTGTTCTGTATTTTGTTCAATCTTTTCAGAATCCTCACCCCGACAAATGATAACATAAAACACAGCAATAAACATGCGAAAGACACACAGTACATTGAAATATTTTCCTACAAATTCTAACATAGAATTAAGCCATTATCACGTACACGATAGGCTTACCATTTCTATTCGTGTTTACGTGGTGGCATCAGTGATCATAAGGGATCAAACTCAAAGACTGAAAAAAAAAAAAAATTAAAACTCACACAGACACACACCCACACACGAGTGAATAGCAGCCTTAAAGCAAATTTTGAATTAGAAACACTCGTCAGTAATTCTAAGGATCAAACGTTTGATACTTATGAGGCGGTATGGAAAACCCAACTTTAATGAAAGAAATTTCACAATCTATGAAGGAAAATGAAAGAATCCCATAAATCAATAGATTTAGTAATTTACATCGGCTAAAGTCCATCCATTTCGTTCTCAATCAGAATCAATAGTAAGTACTTGAGCACTGGCCTGGTAACCGCTTAACCCATCAAAAGGGGATATTATACCTATCTCGTAGTGAGATATTTAATAATGACACATAAACATAATTCATCTCCAATATAGCGCTGAACGTTCCGCAGTAGTAAGGTCAAAAAGGTCATTTATCAGATCATATGTGTTCTATTATATGTAGCGATGTACTTTATAAGTATAAGTGTTGAATAAGCCCTGAGTTTAACGTTTACGTATTTTAAGAGTTTTGTATTAAAGAAATCTCACTTCTAATATCTCTTGATGTTTAATAAATTCTATGTATAATAGTTCTTATAATAATATCCATTCTTCCTAGATTTTCGATTCCTATACAACTATAACTGACCACTTAGAAGGACTAAATCGCTGTAAGAATTCTTTAAGAATGCGAGATTATTCGTCATCTCTTCAATATAAACTAGTGTACATTATTTAATCAGTATTGCGATTACAACAACGCTTTTGTTAGATATATGCGACTCGGTAAATTTATTACGATCAAAGTTACAGAAGAAGTGCGCTGTCGTCCTAATGGTAAAAGTGTCACGATATAGGTTTTGTTATACATCATATATGTACTGGAATTCTACTGTGTATCAATGTATATAATTATTTTTACATAAGCCGCTACATGCTGTTTGATAAGCCTAATGATTTCAACATCCGTATTTACCATTTCCGAAGAGAAACAGTCCTGCATGCCCAAGCTATCCTATCTAGATGTCGGAGTTGATTCGATAGTCAGGGTCTTGTTCAAGATTTTCAACCAAGATGTTGGCAATTTACAGACTACTACGGCTGGTTTACACCCATTTCATTGGTCATTAGGCAATAAAGGACACAATCAAGAAGGTTCGATTTCTATTAATAGATATCTTGGTATAACCCTACTTTACTGTCAAGAAATTGTAATCGAAAAATCAAATTACAATGAGCAATAAACATCATTTAAGTTCTAAACGTGTGATAAATCTACAAGTCCTTTTCTCATAGAATTTTGATGGGTCTGGGAGAATTTCTACACATACTTTAGTTTTACGTTGTAGGACACATTATTTTTAGCATTAAAGTTCAAAAGGACACATAATAATAAATTGTAGATTGTCATTTCTTACCTGTTAAATATTCCACTGAAAGTGAAAATACGGTAAAAATCCACAGCCACTTTTTCATCGTGTTTCACAAATTTCGACTTATCTGATGTCAATTTTCCGAATACAGTGAGCAACAGTGTCCTTTATGTGTCCCTATCTACCCAGATAAGGAGACATTAACATATAGAGAGGACGTTTGTCCGGGGATATTATATTTTTATCATAAATGATCTGACGATTTATCTTATCGCATATGTACCTCATATGTTTTACAAATCCTTCTGATCTCGCGAGATATTTACTTTAAGAATTAATCTTTTTCTGACTTCGAATTTAAATATTTCGTGAATAATTTGACAAGATTGACAGTTGATCAATTTGAATGCAATAGTTAGAGCAAAAAGCAAGGAGAAATATCGGGAAATGTTCTTGCCTAAAATGTCATGTTTTTTAAAGACATATATTATTTTGTTGGTTCTTGATTTCTCGCTATGACTTTGAAATGTTGATAAAAAATATCCCCTTATACCAAATCTTGTATATCAATAGTGGGCATATAAAGTCCCATCGAAAATAAGGACCCTCGAAAACGGTAAAAAAAGAGTAAAATTTCGATTTATTGCATGATGTTTAGCTCAGCCATGTTGTTCCTATCGGATTAAAAAGCTGGATTGTGTGTAGATGTATATTTTTTGCGTTTTTGTGTTTTTGTTTCATCATCTAAAAATAAAAAAGGAATAAGCGAATTGTTGATGGGATATATGTCTAATCAATGGATTCAGCTAATGTAGAAAATTTTGTCTTTGCGAATTATTAATTTTCGCGATTCAAATATACATTACCATATCCTCCTAGTTGAGCATATCGTCAATGTTACATTATAACACATGTGTTTTATATAATAACTGTGGCAGAAAGAGTATATTTCGCCAAGGACCAGGATAGTACAAGACCTCACAAGTCTGCAAAAATACTGGTGTTTTGATAAGGCAATGATATTGGATTGGGCACGGTCACCTGCATCTAATCTACAATATTATTTACGAAGTCTTTTCCTATACAATATCGAATTTGCTTATCTAAACTTCGCTTTTCTGCATTTAATTTGGCCATTGAAACTGGCATATATAATAACATACCAAGAGAACGATGACTTTGTCCGAGTCGTAATTTCGACACCGAAGATGAATGTTATTTTATTTTGATAAGTAAGAGAATTACCGAAATTAAAGAATGAAATATACAAAACCATTCTATTGGCGAGTTTCTTCCGTGTATAAACTTTTACAATTGCTTAGTGTCGATACCATAAACGATCTTCGTAAACTAGCTAGATAATATTTAAAGCCAATTAAGTACGACCATAAATGGTATACTAATTATCATAGCTCTTATCTATATTAACTAGTCCGTGTGGAAATTATAAGATTATGACGAGTATATACATTGTAGTCATTTCTTGTTTCGTTAATAACACTGTATTTGTTGTTGTCGATATATACATGTAGTTGAATATGATGACATATGCACGACTATTTTTGAATACATATTATGTAATATCATTTGTAAAATTGTATGTTTTCAACAAGTTGATGATGATGAAATAAGCACGACTGATGAATGTATGCTATATTACATTCCATTTGGAAAAATCGTGTGTGTCCAATAAGTCGCTTACGGAATAAAATTGAAATGAAAACGACATTTTGTCAGCGTAGATTGAATCCTTCCCTATAATAAAACCCTGATTTTATCAAATATTTATCTACATTTTTACCGTGACATGTTGTTTAATCTTTGAAATAACTTTCCCATTTTTCACATTTTATATTAATTCGGATAAATAATGCAAAATCGAAATCATTCTATATAAGCATCCATTTGTTGATAGAATCACTCGAACAATTTTAATTTGAACATATGACGTATTCCGTAAATTTCACCTAATGTGTCCAGTATATAATTATAGAAGGTCTTCTCCCGCTTCACTTTCAATAATGGAGATTAATCTGGGTGTGTGGATTTGGCTGGAGATTCAGGAATGCTAACACTACAAAAGATATTGGCATCTACATTATACATAGCGAACTAGATATAAAATCATCAACATTTCACACAGTGTATCAAATTATAATACACATGGCTTACCTGGACATAAGGCTGATTTAGGCGTTCTATATTGAACGGTGTCTGATAAAGACATCAGAACTTTATTAGATACTATATAAGGAGGATGCGTATTGTCATGTGCACGATTTTTATGGGATTTAATTAAAATGTGCAGGGAGATCAGTACAGCTTAGATGTGTTGGCTTTACCAGTTCCATCTATATACTCCAGATGTCTTTACCCGCAGTCAGGTAACCATGCATTGCTCGCCGCAAAGTTTGCTTGCTGGGTTGTTCGTCATTCACAGTCATTTTAAGTCAATTTTGAGGCAGGATCGCCTTGTGATAGCTGGTTGATACTTCAATGAGCAACATAAGGAGGCCCATTGCATGTCATCCAGAGCAGTTAGGTTAAAAGTGTTTTTCTTAAGTAGACAATCGCGTCAGCACACACTGGTCCATTTCTCAGCTCTTTAAAGAGAAACGAAGGGCAGTAACTTTTGGAGATCAGAATGAACTCCCACAGAAATATCGACGGGTAGGGAACGTCCATCCCTACACCTTGTGTTGACCTTTGTAACAACACCAAAGAGCTCCACTCAAACCGAATACATGTTGAAACTCCTGATAACTCATTTATCATTTATATATGTGTCACACAAAAGACTAGTACCTTTAAATTCATAATTAACTACGCTGCAGTCGAAATAAATATATGATTTATTTCTGTCAAACTCTTTATCTCTGAAAATTAACCATTACATGTTAGCTGGGGAGAAGTTGAATTTTATTGATATATAGAAAATTTGTACTATTCATACCATCCATCCCATTTAACTATAAGTGAGGAAAACTTATATTTATGATATACAAGAACAATATCTGCATTTCGATTCTATTTAGCCGAAAAGTTATTTATAAAGAGAGGATTTTATAACGAGTTTCCGTTCCAGATGGGATTTATAAAAGAACTTTCCATACGTTCAGCAAGGAGGTAAAATTAACTAAAAGGTTCCGGAAGCCTTAACGGTCGTCTTAAAATTCAAGAGAAGAGGCAACGGCTTTAAGGCATTGTGACCTTAAAATTTTGCAAAATAATCCTCACATTAGTCTCCCTAAAGCTTTCAAATGCATGCGGCTGTTCAAAAGCCAGTTTTACTGCTAAATGGCTTTATTAGAACTTCTAAGTGCCGTTGACCTTTGAACCCATAACTTTGAAAGATTGCAAAAATAATCTCAGCATTTATCCCTATAACTTTCAAATGAATATGCTAATACAAGAGGCCAAAGGGCCTTAACGGTCACCTGGGGTATGTCCTAGAAATATTCTTGTTAACAAAGAAAGACAACTTGTACTACATTGTACATTAAAATCTTCCAACAGACTATTGGCATATATATGGGATCCAAATGTGCCCCCTCTGTTAGTGGACTTGTTTTTATATGAGACTGAATTAATTGAAGAGCTTATCAAAACAGGTAACAAACAAACAGGTCGCCTTCAGATATATTAATGACGTCGTCATTAAATAACAAGAAATTTATTGACACGTCCATCGTACACATATATGTATATATCCACCAGAACTGGAAATCAAAGGTAGACAGACTCTTCTACAACAGCTACTTATCTCGATCTTTTCCTGTAACGAAACCAAAACTTCTTATTATCGTTCATCCGTGACATCAAATAGGTCAAGGGGAGTTATACAAGGAAACAACACCGTCCTAGTTACCCGTTTCAGGATCACAGAGTTCCTAAGAAGAATGGTCAGGACATATTTGTCCAACAAGTAACTGGGACGGGATGCTGGAGGTTACCTCTATGAATGGCCTTGACTTACTTTTAAAAACATTCCATCCTTGACGTCAGTTGGCAAAATACCCAGACCTATATACTAATAGTTGTTGAATAGACAACAGATGCTATACCATACAACAGCGAAGTGTAAAGATAGCCATTGTATGAAAATAATAACAATAAACACATATGACGTAGTTTTTTTTTTTTTTTTTAAAAAAGAGATTTTATTTGTATAATTTCAAACTATTTTCACCTCCCTACATACTGTCTGAAATTGAACGCATACTTTCATCAACCTTCATATAAGTTGGAGAAGGTTGTCCCTTACCATGTACTCAAGGGGTCAGATTCTATTTAAAGATCACAAAAGCAAACATTGATTTTTGTAGCCCTAATCAACCTTCATTTCATTTAACAGATCTTGGTAAATGTGATCAAACTACAAAATGAAATTCTGTATTTCAACTTAAATGGCCATGCCAAATGTAAAACTTTGTAATGTCAATAATTTGTCAAAAAGGTGATAAAAATCATATCATAATTTAATTGCGATTGCATGTAACATCATATATTTATATATGAAATGTCCAACATGTTCCATAATTTAGAAAATACATGAAAAAATATTTGCATGGACACAATCCCGAACATAAGAATTATTCAACCAAACAAACCTTTGAAAGGTACATAAGAATATTGTGTATTTTGTTAAATAGGTAATATTTCCTACCAACCAGTTCACTGGTGCAGAACTGTCATGGATAAGACATACTATACCTAAATAGACAAAGTGGAAAAAAGGCATTTTGACACATTTTCTTAAATTCTTACATAACACAAAAGCAAGATGATTATAAATATTAAATACATTTCCGCTTAGTTACCTTCTAAGGGAACAAAATAATATTTTGACATTTTTATTGTAGTGTAAGAAATCATTGAGCGAAATGGTTGGCTTGGCCAGTCCAGCACCCTGAATGACATTTAAATACACTGGCAAGGTTAAAATGAATGGTAACTAAAAACAAAACCAAAATACTGGCTAGAGGCACACAGAGGAACAGTATACATCTTTAAAATTGTATTAAAATAATGTAAAACAACATAGTAACAGGTGGCAACTACTAAGACTAACTTCCAATCTTTTTCCTCCACATCATAAAATAT